TCGTAAGACATTGAAGCGACGTGAAAGCTCATTTTTACTTCCATAAAAATTTGTGTGTACAGCAAACACCACCGTGAAATTCCGGTTCTGTATGGCTTTCTACTCAGTTTAATCCTCGTTTTGGTATTACGCCAATGTAAACTTTGGTGTGTCCATAAGCAAGGCCTAGGTGTGCGCAAAAGTTAAATTCAAATTCTCTATTGGGCAAGGAGCTTCTTCGTAAAATTTTATTCTTCCAGGTTGTCTGGTTCCTGAACTCGTTTTTTCGCCAGAATATTTCTTTCGTGTCTGCACTTCAGAACTAAGAAGGTGTAAAATTTCAAGCCTAAAAAATCATTCACAATGATAGGCTAAGTTGCAAAAATTTCAGCTTCTTAGGTCCGGAGATCGAAATGTGCGGACGGATAAATACACACACATAAACTTTTTAGAACCTTGTTCTTTTTCAAGCGATAATCGCGTTCGGAAAAGGCAGTTTCAGACGATCGGCCGGAATCTTGTGTATTAAGCTCCTGATGTGATTCGTTAGTGGTTGTTCCGAGTTTAAGTCGTTGCTGTTGCTGCTGCAGTGCACGATCACTTGCCATCTGTAAAAAAAGTGCAAAGGCGTAGAAATTCAAGCCTGAGCTTCAAAACCTAACTTTTGACTCTAACGTTATTACGAGAAGTACTCTGCGCATATATTAGCTGTCGCAAAAATTCGTTTCTTTGTCTAAAAAAACGTGCCTGAAACCTTTTCAGTATGTCCTTGAAATTACTCATTCGTGGCTGATTACTGGACTGCTTTGGTGGCAGCAATGATGATGGTGGTGTCGCCCTATAAAATTTAAATATTCAAACTGTGAACAATTTTAGATCGGTTCTCTTTAACACATTGCCAGCTTTTCATCTTACCTGTAGAAGCTGGATTCCTGGCAGGCCGTTTCTTGTGTTTGCCCAGATGCACCATTTTGTCGAGGCCCATTAACGGCCGGTTTTTGCTCTATACGACCCTGTCAAGTATAAAGTAAGATAAAAGACAAAAGTCGAATGCTAGCTATTCTTTTCAACGTGGAACTTGCTAAACCTGAAGAAATCCTTTCAAATCCGGATTATTATATCAGGTCAGCAAAAGAGGCATTTCCTTGG